GTACGTTCCACCATGTGCGTCAAATCCGCGGATAGCATTTCAGTATTGGTACACTCGGAATTTCTTCTTTGGTGTCACCTATAAGATTTTATACAATTTTCACGAAATATCAATAAATTGGTTGAAAATCTTGCTTACCTTTAACGGGGCTTTTCCAGTAATATTCGCTACCAGAAAATTCATTGCGATGTCCTCGCAATTCATGTGCTCATCGACCCATTCTTTATGTCACCAGGCATCGCTGTAGTGTACATGTAATTCCAATACTGAAAGGCATTGAAAAAGATATAAAGTTTTACACCCTATAACTGTACAATTCAATACTCGGACAAGGTGGTATAATTTACTTTGTTAGATTAATTTATACATTCTTGATGAGGATAACAGGAGAAGATGTTAGTTTATTTTCTAAAAAAAATAAAATCCAAGGATTCTTATAATAACGTGTTTGTGGCCTGAAATGTCAAATAAAAGTGTTAGGTATAAAATAACGAAACGCCTAATCTCTTGAGTGGAGGACAACATAAACGTTCGGTAGTGCTTACTTTATGATGAAAAGCTGCCCCTGTTAAAACCATGAAATACTGTTCGTCCATTCGTTTTCATACTTCCAACAATTGGTACCATTATTCCACATATGTAAGCGCGATAGAAACCCGACGATTCTATCCGGAAATTCCCTCCATACCTAAAAGTTTACCAATTATATGTTTTAATTACCAAACGAATAAAAATAAAAAAGATTTACAAAGATAGTAATTAACTTAATTGTGGTTGTAACGTTAATTATCGATCACTATGTTTAACCAAGTAGAAACGCCAAAAAACATCAAAAGTATCACACAAAGCAGTAGATATACTGAACTTTGAAGTGTTTGACTATGTTGGCTATGAAACCAGTTGTGAACACCCGGATGCATATATCCACACTGTGCAGATTATTCTTTATAAAACATAATAAAATAAATTATCTCTATCATAATAGAATTATAATGATCTACGAGATATTCACATAAATATTAACTTTTAACAAAATATTCTACAAAACTTTTCAAATAATTGTATCCTTAATATTATGTATCAACAATGTATCTTGTTTTTGAAACTTACTTATTTACTAATTTATATCTTATACATATTAAAATATTAAAATCAATTTTTATAAAATTTTAATATTAAAATTGTAAAATATTTTAATACTTACACCTGATGTAAGAACATAATCTTTAAATTCATCCATAATAGTAACTGTTATATCGTTAAACATACCTTCCAATTTTGACGTGAACTAACATCCACATTCAGTCTAAAAAAAAAAACATTAAAAACACGTTATTAATTTCTATTAATATAAGAATATGTAAGCAACATCACAATTCAGATACAAAATAATTTTAGTCTAGAAAATCATTATCTAATTCTAGGTCTCAACCTTAAATTTAGATATATTTTTTCCACTATTATCTGAAACAAACTTATTCATCAATAATCGTTTAACTAAATGTTGTTTATGATACCATTTAAATACAATTTGGTCTTGTAAAAAACGCTATAAAACCATAGCTTTATCTAAAATTCCCTTAATCTCGTACTCTATCATCTAAAACCAAATATATAGGTATATATATACATGTATCGAAAATAATAAAATATGTAATATTGCAATTATATATATACATAATACCCTTGACACCTTTCTTCAATTTGTCGTCAATAAAAAATAAGAAATATTCTGGACTTTTAGGATTTAAATTAAGAAAATATTAAAAATTTGATACTGTCATCTGTGTGTAATTCTTGTAATTATTAAAAAAATAATAGAGAAAATTATCGAAGTGATTCTTTAGACCTAACAAGTTTTCAACATAAAGAACGACATTTATGATTAATTTATGAACTAACACACGGCTTCGCTCTCTAAAAAATTAAGATACACAATCACATACAATGCGCAATTCAACATTCTCGAAAATAGTTTATACATACAACCAAAAACTGTTATCCGATTTTTGAGCATGTGCACTACAATACTATTTTCCACCTAACAAGTACAAAAAAATAATAAAATTAGTATTTAACAACATAATACATAATAAAAAAATTTACACTATTAATATAATGCAAATTATAAATAAAAAATAAACACACCTCAACAATAGTTTTCATATGTATTTTAATTAACTCTTCTTCTATAACCTCTACTATCCGTGATTCAATGAATTCATTTGAATAGTGTTTTGCCCTTTCGGATTCCTCACAATTTCTAGCTCCAACTTTCTTCATGTATATACAGCGATACACTATTTTTTACCAAAAATTTTTAAGATTCTATTTGAAAAAAATGTATCCCGTAAAAGAGCTCTAACACATCTATATTTGATCATCTAAAATCAATAAGAAACTTATTAACATATTAAACATATTTAACAATCATTCGTTTTACATAAATAGACAATTACAACAATTTAATATTACAAAATCAATAATCAAAGATTGTTATAGTGTAATAGAATTTTAAGACATCCAGATTCCTTATAAAGCAATACAAAATATTAATATTAATAATTTAATATGTAATCTTATAATATTTTAATATTTAATGTTTTAATACTTTTTATTAATATTTTGTGTCTCGAAATACAAGATTTATACTTGTATACTGTATATAGTAATCATTCATATATACATTTATAAATCAATTCTATGAGAAATAAAATTTTACAATTAAATAATATTACAATTATATATGTACATACATAATACTAACTTCCTTGACACCTTTCTTCAATTTGTCGTCGATAAATAAGAGATATTCCAGACTTTTAGGATTTAAATGAAGAAAATTCAAAGTCTAATATCATATAGAAAATGATCAAAGCGATACTTTAAACCTAACAAGTTTTGAACGTAAGGAACAGCATTTGTGGTTAATTCATGCTCTTCTTAAATTAACACACGATTTTACTCTCCAAGAATTTGAGATACACAATCACATACAATGTACAATCCATCTGACACTCTCGAAAATAGTTTATATATACAACTAAAATCTTCTGTTTTCTAATTTTTAAGCATATGCACTACACCACTGTTTTCCACCTATCAAACACAGAGGAATATTAAGATTAGTATTTAACAACACGGTACATAATTTACACTGAACAATTAAGATAAGACAAATTAT